GATGCAGATTGGGCTGGTGATCGAGTGGATAGGAGGTCTACTACAGGTTATTGCACCTTCATTGGAGGCAATCTAGTTACATGGAAAAGCAAGAAGCAAAAGGTGGTATCATGTTCAAGTGCTGAGGCAGAGTATAGAGCAATGAGGAAATTGACAAGTGAGCTCATTTGGATCAGAAACTTGCTAAGAGACTTGGGCACAGAAACATCAACACCAATTACCATGCATTGTGATAACCAGGCAGCCATTCATATTGCTTCAAACTCAGTGTTTCATGAAAGGACAAAGCATATTGAAGTGGATTGTCACAAAGTGAGACAAGCCGTGGAGCAGAAGATTATCCTACCCTGCTACACTAGAAGTGAAGATCAGTTGGCTGATATCTTTACCAAAGGAGCAAGTAGTAAAGTCTGTGAGCTCATTCATCCGAGATTAGGACTCATAGACCTTGATAGATCATGATCTCCTTAAGCCATGAAGCATCTACTCTTTTTCCTTTGTGTGGTTTTGTCCCATTGGGTTTTTCTATACAAAAGGTTTTAACGAGGGATGTTTTCATGGTTCCAAGCTTTACCATAAGGCATGGCAAAGCTTGAGGGGGAGTATTGAATTAAATAAATATAGTAGTTATTTATTCTAGCTTCTCTAGTAAGCCAAGTGTGTTTGGTTACTAGAATAAGAATATCCTCTCTCTTTATAACTTATTGTAACGTTATTTTTTCAGATCTAAGGAAAAAGTTTCTCCTTCTTTACTCTTTTCTCTCATCTCTCTCTTGTTCTTCAATCTCAAAACTCCACTTTCTTACAAGGACGAATCTTATTCACCACTTTTAACTGTTTTGCTTATCGAACAACAAATTAACTGATTATTATTATAGAGATTTCCTTGAAGTTTAAAATTCACAAATCTACCGGTAACGCTTATTCCTACGAGCCACTCCACCGCCCACTAGAGATTTCACGAGCTTGTATTGATGCTGATTCCTTAATGACGTTAGTGTTGTTAGGTTACCGAATATGTGTGCATTTGAAGATACTGTTCTCATGTGAACTCATGCAAAAGAAATTCATCAACGTGGAAATCATCGAAAGGCATGTTTCCGGAATATCAAGCTAGACAGTGTAGAATATACTAGTTCTATGTATATATTCATCTTATAGATAGAGTATTCATGCTAAAACACCTTTAGCTTTAAAATTAAGTTAATAAGCATATGCTTTTAGCTTCTTTTTTCTCAAAATGCGTTTAGTTACGTTGCCATGGGTGACACATGTGGAATCGGAAAAATAAAACGGAACAGATACTATTATGTTCATACGTAACAAATTTTTTAAAAAGAAAAACAGTTAAAGAAAATGGTATGCAATTTAGTCATGTTTCTAATGTGATCGATACCACATGATTTGATAAAATAGTATGATTAAGCGAAATACGAAGGATTGCTTGAAATTTGAACTATTTAACTAGGGTTATACCGCTACTTTATTTATCTAAAAATAAAATAAAATCATGTCAGTTCATATAACTTTTATAGGCAGAGATGATTCGAATGGTGTGTTGGTTAAGTTCCAATTCCAAACGCAGTCGCGTCTTCTGAATCACACATTGCTATAACAAACAAGGCAACGTATTTCTAAGAGATATTAGTTGGTGGCAGCTTCTGCGTTTGCCATAGACTACGGTGTCACGGATCCAGCTTTATTTATTTATTGATCGTGCAAATTTTTTTTGGTTAATAACGGAAGGTGTCACGGATCCAGTTTTATTTATTTATTGATCGTGCAATTTTTTTTTGGTTAATAACGGAAGTTGAATACTTTCTCTATTTAACTAAGATACATGTCAGAAAAAAAATTTAAGAAAAATATTTTCTATATTAATTTTGTTTCTATTAGTTTAGAGTTATGAGAATTGAGAATCACTAAAATTATAAATTTATATCTGAAATGTAAAATATCTCATTAATATAATTGAAAATTCTGAAATATGCATTATTTCGAAACAAATGGAATTTTTTTTTCATTTTATACCAATGTAGCTAACTTTAATACATAATCAACTTTTAATTATTCTGATTTATCAATTCTATGTTTCCAAAGTAATTTAAACCAGGGGTACAAAAAAATAACCATTTATTCTACCACTTAGCTAGCAACAATTCTGAAAGTTAGCTACATGGTAGTTTCCTGCGACTGACATACCACTTTTGTTTTTTACCTTCACTTTTTCTTTGTTAATGACATATTTCGAAATATATATATGCAGTTTTTCACTTTCTACTTGCGGAAAACGCAGAAATAAAAACGTTATTTTTGAAAACGCGTAATTAAGTATTCAAAGTGTTAAAAAAAAAAAAAGTATTCAAAGTGTTCCAGATGCTGTATTATTAACCTTACCCAATTTCTTTGTGTTTATAAGTTCAGTCAAATTATCGCAGCTATATGTAACTCAAGTCTCAAATTGTGGACCGCGGTTTGCTGTTGTTAAAGTTTACTCGTCTGGTTTTCGTAAAGCACAACTAAGTACAAAAAAATATTATTAATAACGAAAATGCAAGTAGATTATTAATACAACCAACGCTGTAGCCAACCGAATAAGGCTGCTTAATTACTTAATTAGGATATCTTTTTATTTGTTAATCTTTGTCCCTCACGATTCCTTCTCTCTTTCTAAACCATTTGCTAGTGGCTTCCTACCTATATCCAATTTGTTTAAAACCATATCACATAAAAACAATAAGAAAGTACCATAATTTGATTTTAGAGTTATCGTTTTCTATAATTTATTAAAATATGAGCTGATTAGTGTAAATATTTTTTTAAAAAAATCAGAAAATATCATATAATTAAATTAAATATGAGATGTCAAAAAGTAAATTAACTGTGGATTTTATCAGGGATTCATTAAAACATTTAATTTCATAATCTAGAATTTCATATGATGTGTCAGTACTGCATATATTCTTCAACACGTTTTACAAGTTTATATCTTACAAATCATATTATTCCAACTTACCCCTAATTTTAGTTATTTATTTCCCTTTAATGAAGGATATGTATTTTACTAAAAAAGAATATATATATTTCATGAGCGAATATTCTTCTCTTATTCCCGCGTTACCTCTTCCTCTTTATGAAAACCCACCAAGAAACATCTAAAAGGCAAAATCAAAAAACAAAAGCTCTAATAACCGTTGGATCACTTATACAAGACCCATGTTGACCCGTAAACGCCATCAAATCCAACGGTTCGTAAACAATATTAAAATAAGATTCTAATTTCGTGTTCTTCCTCTTTTTATTTTCACCCTTGAGGTAATATTCCAATGGCATCTCCTAGAAAATCCTCCATTGTTTTGTATAAATACCAAACCACATTTCTCTTCTCCTCCATCCACAAACCAACGAACTCAAAAACATCCAATCAAATCTTAAAACTCAGATTCTCTCGAGAAATTTTCTAAGACATGTCTTACAATAACAACAACAAGAACAACATTGTCGTTGTCTTCGACTTCGACAAGACAATCATTGACGTTGATAGCGACAATTGGGTGGTCGATGGACTTGGCTTCACTGATTTGTTTAATCAACTTCTCCCCACCATGCCTTGGAACACACTCATGGTTTGTTCTTACCTTCTCTTCTCTGTTTTTTATTTAATTTATTTTTTGTTAATTTGCAGTTTTGTTCATATAATATTTTGCATGAAACATTAAATTAAATTAAAATCTTTTTTTGTACAAACAGGACCGTATGATGAAGGAGCTTCATGATCAAGGCAAAACCATTGAAGAGATCAAAGAAGTCCTAAAAACAATCCCTATTCATCCACGAGTCGTCCCTGCCATCAAATCTGCACATGCTTTAGGGTAATTCATTTTTTTTTTTTTTAATTTACTATTGATATTATTTCGTTTTTATTTTAATTATGTCTAATGTTAGACAAAACCCACCGTTTCTTATCCGACATTCATGGTTTGATTTCCAGGTGTGAGCTTAGGATAGTGAGCGATGCAAACATGTTCTACATCGAAACCATCGTTGAGCATCTTGGGATTAGTGAATACTTCTCAGAGATCAACTCAAACTCAGGGTTCGTTGATGAGCATGACACGTTGAGAATTTCTCCTTACCATGACTTCACCAACTCATCTCATGGTTGTACGCATCGCACGTGCCCTCCTAACATGTGCAAGGTACATATTATAACATTTTGTTTTACTCTGTTTTGGTCAGATACTGACTACATAGGTCAAAACATGTGTATGGTCCCATCTTGGTCGTTTCTAAATGTTAAACAATTTTTTTAATCATTTTATTTAGGGCTTGATCATCGAGAGGATTCAAGAATCTCTAGCTAAAGAAGGGAAGAAGAAAATGATCTATCTAGGAGATGGAGCTGGTGATTATTGTCCAAGTTTAAAACTAAAAGCTGAAGACTACGTGATGCCACGTAAGAACTTCCCGGTTTGGGATCTGATTAGTCAAGACCCAATGCTGGTTAAAGCAGCTATTAGAGAATGGACCGATGGTGAAAGCTTGGAGAGGATCTTAATAGGAACAATCGAGGAGATTCTATTGGAGGAAGAGAACGAGAAGAAGATGTTGGCTAGTGCGGAGAATAACTGCAAGATGCAGAACATCTCTGTTGGGATTAATGTTCATCATGAGCCAATAATGCCTCGTGCTCTTCGAGTTTCTCAGTCTGGTTAAGTAGATGGTTTAATATAACGGAGGAAGAGTAATATTATCTGTGGTGACTCTTCTCCTTGTAATAATAGTATACCAAACTTATTGGACTTTATCCTAAGTAAGATAAGATGCAACAATGAAGTTGTATGATTGTGATTTTTGTGTGTTTTAACATGTTCTTGTTTGGCTGATATATATATTTTCGATTTAACCGCAAATATTAGAGTTCGAATTAATCAGACATGGTTTTTTAACCTTTTTAGTAACGCCGGAAACGTTATTACAAAGAAAAAGAAGAAATGTGGAATGAATTACGCCTGAAATTCCGCTGTGTTTGTCTTACGTACATTCACACGTATTTTTGTCTTACATTTGGAAACAGTTACAGTTTAATTGTTCTTGAGATTCCAAATTTATAGACTCCACGTGAATAATGCGGCCCCATGTTTCTAACTACAGAATCGTACCTCGAATCATTTGATACGAATATTCTTTTTTCTTGCTATAGCCATAAATTATTTTAATGCTACGGGTGTTCGATTTCTCCATTGTTTTAACAAACTGTCTGCCTAATGCGAAATCAATACATCTTCGATTTACCAAAAAAAAAATAAAAAAAATCAATACATCTTTTATTAAAATAAGCATTTCTTTACGAGAAAATAAAATTTCTGATGAGAAACTGCACGAAACGTTTGTTTCCAGATTGGTAATAAAAACCCAAGTTATTTCTAGTGTTTCTTGTAAATTATTAGTTGGTCGTAATCCAATAACGAGATGTTATTATAGTGGTAAAGCCAATTTAAAATATTGTAAATATCTTTATAAATTTATAATAAAAATAAAATAAATTGTTGTTAAGTCATCTGTTTTTTTCAATATGATTTTTATAGTATTATCTCAAAATCTTCTTTAGCTTCCACTCTGAGTTTTTAATAGCGTCTGAAACTCTTGCAATTCTGATGAGTCACAACCACCAAACCAAAGGAAGTCATCCATGACCGTTATCCCGAACCGAAAGTATGGAACCATAACAGAACCGGCTTTTTGTTTTTTTTTGTTTTTATTATTTAAGTTTCTGTTTCAGTTGAATAAAAAGAATGAGTCTTCTTTACGTTAAGGAACCAACCTCTCCATTTTCCCACTTTCACGTACTTGCAGGAGATGATGTCTCCACCTTACCTTCTTGAATTTGTTTTTGTATATAAAGCAATGAAACGTCAAAAAGAGGCAATATAAGTCTTATTGTTCTTATTATGCTGTGATTAAAGCTTTGATCAAGTTCATCCCTATCAAATTCCTAGCTGTATATACTTTATATCTCAAGTGATATCTATAGGACAATCCATATGAAGTAATCAAATATTGGTTAGTAATCAAATAATAGTTTCCTTGGCCTTAATCTTAATACATCTGCACATCCACCAAAAATAGTATATAGTTTGTTGGGTCAAAACTTCTCAGAGCTTTCCTTGTAAGGATTACTAAGCCCATTACAGTCCATAAGTTATATAGACACACCTTTAACTCACCTCACATTCCACAGATACACATTGAGCAAACCGAACCATTCATGGTTCTCCACTATCAATATATATATACACACACGACATGTTCAGCACACACAATAAGTTTCAAGTCGGAGAAGCCGTGGAAACTGCAGCGAGATTCTGTAAATTCGATTTCACGACAGTATCCACAAACATCCTCGTATCTTCCTCCGTATTACCTTTCGGTATATCAACAATATAAGACTCCAACACCACACTGTACACTCTCTTGACCTTATCCTTCTCCAAGACAACAAACTCGTTAACCGATGTAACCGACCGGTAGTTTCTTAACCGGTGTTCTCCTCCAAGAACACGAAAACTCAAGATTCTTCTCTCATCGTCTAGAGCTTCGAGCATCTCAACGCTTGTTGACGCTGGAAGACCAGAGACAACGCTAACTTCCCTTATGGTCCCGACGCTAATCTCTTTAACGTTACCTCTGATGGTGCAGCTTTTGATAAAGTGTTTGTACTTGTTTGGATTCGCGAAGTCACGGACGTATCTCCATATGGTACGTGCTGGTGCGTCTACTCGGTGTGCTATGAGGGATGTGCACGTGTTTGGCGATCTTGGGAACGTGTGATGGGTTCTGATGATAGGATCTAGTGTTGAGAACTCGTCCTTCGTTAATCCATATGGTGTTGATGATGATGATGATGGGGAGTGGATAGGAGAAAGATTAGGGTTCATGGTTTAGAGAAAAATATGTATGAAGCTAGGACTGATTCTTTTGACATACCATTACAATATATATACAGATATATATAATAAGTTGTTTTATTCTAATGTAATATTTAAATGAGAGGTTGACTAACGGAGTTGGGTTGCACTAAATTGCTTTTGATGTGTGAAGTGTGAACGTGATACCAAATCTCATTTTTATATGACTCATTTGATCCTTCAGGAGCTACAAATACATCAGCTTTTGGGGTAAAATACAAAATGGATTATACTTTTGTTGATTTGATATGTAAGGCTAGACGTAGAAGAAAGATCGATGCCCCCTAATAGAGTTAACGTGACTATATAGTGGAAGAAATGTTGTTTCTGATCACTTTATAATTTGCCTTTCTTTTTATTTTTGCATACTATCTTTGGAAGATCTATGCGTAGTCGGTAGTTTCGAGACTGAGTTATCTTTGGTTAATGTATAAACAAGTTTAATGCAACATGGGCATTGATTATGCAAGTTGTATAGTTTAAAAAAAAAAAAATTCTTGCTATTGGTGACAATAAAATAACAATAATAAAAGTTCGTACTGTTGATTGAATAAAATATAGAGTTTTTTATTGAATATCTCTATATATTTACATAAGCAGTGAGAATGAAATTCTAATTTATGAAAAGCTAAAATACATCAATTTGTGCCACAAAACTAATGCATCTATAACCAAAAAGAGAACATTAAGTTGAGCCCATGTCAACAACAACCACAATTGGTCTCAAGTCTTAAGTCTTAACCCATCCTCTTATCTGACACGTAATTCAAATGTTGATGTTGCCTTAACTTTTCCGTTCATCATCGCGACTTAAGCCTTTTTCTCCACTAAGGCCATTTTCAAATCAATTATAATTTTTTTTAAGTAGAGAAACTCTAAAAATTTAAGTGAATTTTACTCTTGATATATCTTTTTTTGCTATTTCTTTCTCTTTGTAAAAGAATGTAAGTTTTTCTCTAAAGTATATATCATACAAAGTTTTGAGCTTTACTGTTTACTAATTACGGTTAAGTTAAGAATGTTGGTGATGGAATATTCATGTCATCTACGTGAAACTAATTGCTTCTGTCGCCGATATATATATATATATATGTGTGGGTCAAAGGAACGAGCTCTGTTTGCTGGTGAGTTCTCTAATCTCTATCAACAGTGTCGACCACAATGAAACCTCGACGTCCCGCATCCAGGGCCAGCTTAGCATGGTGGCGGTCGCCCAATCTAATTAAACTTTTTTGATATATATTATACTAAATTTAAATTTATGTAGTATTTAAGCATGTGTATATAGAAATTTTAACTAAAAACTCAGATAAAAGCAAGAAGATTATTTAATCTATGTAATTTTTTTGATAATATTAAAAATTAATAATTATGGGATGGGGTTTAACTATTTTTTGAGTGCAAAGTCCTAAATTAGTTTGGTCTAAAGATCTTTAATAGTGTTGAGCCGGCCCTCTTCGCAGCAATATGTTAGATTCAGGTTTATAAAGGACTTCCAACTTAAAACTAATTGTTGATTAGTGGATTGATCCTAACCCATTCCTAATACCCCTCCTCGAGATGATGGCTCTTATCGACTAGAAATTTTGAAACTTTAAGACAGTTATATTCGGTCGAACGAGTCAAATACGACAATTGTACCTAGTCGGAAGGTTAAACACAACCTATATACCCGATCAAAAAAGTTAATTAATTAATTAGAATTTTAGAGTTTTTAGGATATAGTTTCTGATATCATGTTAGATTTGAGTTTATTATGAGCTTCAACTTAAAACCAATAAAACGAATTGGTGATTAATGGATAAGTCTTAACCTTTTATATACTATTCAAGGTCTCATTGATTTCTCTGGGATATATTATCCCTAATAATTCCTTAAGCCTGACATAAATTATGTGATATGCCAACAAGAACATTTTCGAGGTGGAATCTACCACATCTCGACATTTTGCTGGATGAAGTTGATTGGGAAGACTTCACGTGCGGTTCAAGTGATTCCAGTGTCATTCAGTGATAACTTGGAGTCTTGGAGAGTTGGAGCCGTCCCCTAGTGCACTTTTAAGTTTGGACGAAGAAAGATATTCTTAAAAAGGTGAATTGGCGGAATAACCAAAGAAAAAAATAAAATTAAATTTATAGATAGAAAGTAGAGAGATATAGGAAGAGAAAGGAGAAGAGAGAACAATATTTTGGTTACTTGATAAATTTTGTTTTATTTTTTGTAGTTATACAATGCAATTTCTGTTTCTTAAAATGCAACCCGCTTTAATATTTTTTTTTACCTACGCTTTAATATTGTTTTTGCAATTTACCTACCAAAACCCCTAAAAATGCAATCGTTATGATAAATAATATTTACACATAAAATGATCAGATAAATTCTATTAACATTATCCAATAGTTAAATCAATCATTTAGTAAAACTTATCTAAAACTAAAATCTGATAAAATCAGAATTGCTAACAGATAGCTTCTGAGTATATAAAATAAAATAAAATTAAATTAAATTAAGAACAATATCAGAAAATAGATATTGTTGGACTCTATTTAACTAACAAAATTTTTTTTATTTCCCTAATCAAACTCTTTCTTTAAACTTAAATCAGCCATTTAGTAAATTCATCTAAAACAAAAATCTGATAAAATCAGAAACTCTAACAGATAACTTCAGAGTACATATAGAAAATAAACTAAAAGTCAGAACAATATCAGAAAATAGATATTGTTAGACTCTATTTAACTAACAAAAACTTTTATATTCCTAATCAAACTCTCTCCTTAAACCGTCTCCGAAATTTTCTCTATCCACAACTCAACTTTCTCCTCGATCTTCTCTTTCTATCCTTCTCTTTACGGAGTAAATCCAGGTATAACCTCTTTTCTAAACCCTAACAAATCTCCCCCAAACACGAAAACTAATGTCCTTAAGCAAGTTTCACGGTGGCTCCTCCTCCTCTTCTGCCACGGCCTGCGCTGCTTGTAAATACCAAAGGAAAAAGTGCACCAAAAACTGTACTCTCGCTCGTTATTTCCCACAAGAAAGACAAAATCACTTTGTAAACTCCCATAAAGTGTTTGGAGTGAGTAACATTACGAAATTTATCAAAGGAGTTGACGAATGTTATCGTGACTTGGCTATGAGTAATCTCATCTTCCATGCCAATGCTCGTGCTCGAGATCCGGTTTGGGGAGTTTGCAAGATCATTATTGATCTCAAGCACAAGATTGCTTGTACTCAGGCTGAACTTAACTTAGTTAATCAACAGAAGCTTGCTATGTGTCAAACTATAGCTCTCCAACAGCAATTTGGCTGCTATTCGTATGGAGATTTACTAGAACAAGAAGAGGAGTACGTTAATATCGATGGTCATGTTCATCAAAACCAGCCACAACATCAAGAGATGACTCAGAAACTGAGTCCTTTGAACTACGAGATGTTTAAAGACATGCCTATGAAGAAGGAGAGAATCGCTGATGGAGAACACAAGAATCTCGTGAACCAGATGACTATGTCCATGTCGCATATGATTCAAGAATTTTAAGTTCTTTCAGGTTTAGGTCTACTTGATTACCATATTTTACTTATTAACTCTTCTTTAGTTTCTTATACTATTTTCTTTTTAGTAGTTTGGTTTTACGTTTTGGTGAGATCTTTTTCTAGTTGAACAGTCTTTTGTTTACTTTTATTTAGTTCGTTCACACATTTAGTTTGTTCGTATATTTTGATATATTAGATTATAATGTTTCTTTAGGTTGAGAAACTGGAGGAAATAATCTGAAAACAAATTAGGTCAGGACTAACTTTTGTCGCAAGAACAACACTAATGTTGACTTAGGCTAGAAGTTAACATTAGGTTTTAAGTATTCCTAATGAGTTTAGGATTAGAAAGATTGTAGTTTATCTTTAAAATATGTTTCCTAATGAGTTTAGGAACTTAAGAGTGTTATATAAGGAGATCCTAATCTTGTGGCATAACTTAAGAGAGATTTTAGTTTTGTGTTAAGTTTCCAAAGCTATAATAAAATGAGTCTTTATATTTGGTTTGAGGGTTTGATTTCAATAACTAATTCCTCCCAGAGGGTTACACAGTTCACTAGACAACATGATCATATATTTCAATGAATCCAAGATCAAAATAACCATAGAGAGAGTACACATTATTCTGCTGTAAACTAAACACCTGCCTTCTTTCCAAGTCTCTCCCTAAGAATCTTGACTCCCATGTATCTGAAAAGATTCATAATTCATTCTATTTATATATTGAAGTTTAAAAGAGCTCTAAATTATATTATATTGGTTTTGATTTTGGTTTACCTTCCCATCATCATGACCGTGGCCTGCGGGTTGGTTCCCGGAGACTCATCAAATGTGGAACCATCAATAACTCTGAGTCTGTTGACACCAAGAACTTTGCGGTCAGGGCTCACAACTTTACCTACAAGACAACCACCATGATAGTGCCAGATTGTGACAACAGTATCTTTACAGAACTGAGCCATAGATTCGGTATCATTCACTTGCTTTGGTCTTAGATTGATGTTTGCCTTGACACTCAAGCTAAGCATCTTGTGGACGTTTTGCTTGTCGCACTGCGTGTAGTTTAGGAATCTCTTAGACGTCACAACTTTTGAAACCAGACGGATGGCTTCAACACAGCGTTGGAGATCCACCGGGTGTTTGAAGTAGTTGAATGTGACTGAAGGATTGTCATCTACATTTGTGTTGAGTAAGCTCAAATGCCCTCTAGATTTTGGGTAAGCTAGTTTCTCCAAGATGAAACTTCCATTGAATGCTTCTTGAAGTTGGTATTTGTTTCTTGAGATGTAAGTTTGTTTTCTCTTCTTTGTAGGTATGGTGGAAAACAATTCATTCTGCAGAAAAAAATCAAAGACCATTCTCATACAAAGACACTAATAAAATCTAAACAGGACCGGCTCTGAAATTTTAGGTGAATTTAAAAAATTAGTAATTAAAAAAAAAGAATTTGGGTCTATTTTTATATATACTAACTCAATAATTTTTAGAGACCAATGTCAATGTTTCACTTGGTTATGTAGTTAAGGGTTACCTTGTCTGACATAACCCCATAGTGAGTATGAATGCTCTCAGGGGACTGACCAAATCCAGTGCTGGCTTCAACATAGACACCCATCTTTGTGATTCCAACAGTCTGAATAAGTGACTGCTCTATAGGCTGCTTTGAAGGAACCAAGATGGTGTTCATTGGATTATCAGCCATTCCTTTCCCAACATGCTCATTCTCTAGAACCAATGGAATCTTTAATCTCTGAAGCTCTCTCTTAGGTCCAATCCCACTTAACATCAGCATCTGTGGTGACCCAATAGCTCCACTAGACAAAATCACTTCACTTCCTTTTCTATTAGAGAGTAAAGCCTGGTGTTGATTACCCTTCTCGTCTTTGAACATCACTCCTGTTACTCTAGGTCTTGCTCCTGCATCCCAAACCAAGAACGTTAGCATTCAAAACTTGGAATGCACGTAAACCTAATTAATATCAGTACTACCAGAAGTGTCAAAGACTATCTTTTGCACGGTGGCGTAGATCAAGACTCTGAGTTTCTGAGGGTTAGCGTAAGCAAGAAGCTCCGCTGCGGTGTGACGACGGCCGAATCTATCGAAGATTGTGCCGCCGACTTTGGTCCCGGAGACGTGGTCGTAAGTGAAGCCATTGAAAGGTCTGACTCCTACCTCTAGAAGACTATCTCTTAGAGCTTTCTGCCATAACGTCAACTTCGGCTGATGAACAACCACTCGCTCTACCCATGGATAGGACTCATTCACTAGTTTAGGATCCCATCCTGCTCGTTTCAAAAACCTACACCATTCGAAGTAACCTTACACTTATTTATATTTATAAGGAAAATGCGTCTAATTATGAAAATAGTTGTTGACGTGTGTCAGAAGTTAAAGACGTGGTCGTGAACCCTATGTGCATATTATTACACAACATTATTGATCGGTGCGTTTTCATATATGTGTAACACTTACCATTACGACACAAAGGGTTTCTTTACAACAACAAGATCTATTTCAATGTTCACAAATCACAATCTTGTTTTACCGTTTTTTTTTAAATAGTTATTTTTCATATTTTCACATTTATGAAAAAAATATATCAAATTTATATCATAAAACATTAGTTTTTGTGTTTATCAGTTTTTAATAAAATTAAACCAGTGATAATTTAATTTATTATTTTTTAACGGTTTACTATTATCAAATCAAAAATCTACTGAAAATAATCTATTTTATGAAATAATTTTTTTTAAAAATACTTATGAAATAAAGGGAGAGTGTTAATTACTTACGCAGCATCAGCTCTGGAGTAGAAACCGGCGTTAATACAAGAACCACCGCCGAGAACTCTAGCACGAGCGTTGTAAACGCCGTCAGTGGAAACAAACGCCTGTGACGCGGAGGAAACTGAAGTGTCAGCAAGTCCTATGTGAAAATTCCTGAGGAAAGAGACGTTTGCATTTGTAAAGGGAACGCCACCTCTCTCTAAGACAAGAACGCTGAAATTCTGCGATAGCGTTGCAGCTAGGGGACAGCCTGCGGTTCCGCCGCCAATGACTATGTAGTCGTAGGTGGAGTCTTGACCGGTTGATGCAAAAGAAGACGAGGAAGATGGTGAGAATGTGCTGGCTTTGTTGATGAACGTGTATCGATAAGGATTATACTTCAACTTATGCTCTTTATCTACACAAATATACATTTATTTAGTTATTTAACTATACAATAATGGGTAGTTGGTAGAAGTAATTACACCATTAATTACATTGGCAGAACATCAGAACAGATATGTAAACTACTGTGTTAGTGTCCTAATCACACAAGATCCGGTCATGATGAATCAAGAACACAAAGTTTCTCCTTCGAGTAAGTCATGCTAGAGTGATCAAACATATAAAGCTTACCTAGAATCAAATATCATAAAACTAACTTTTCTAAAAAATAATATTATAATAAAATTAAAAACCGAAGCATTGAATACAATGTTGATTACAAACTCGATTTCGATCAAAAGCTTACCTAGAATCAAATATCATAAAACTAACTTCGCATCAACCATCTAAACCGATGCATTCCTCTAGCCTATTCAAAAATCACTGGATAACCGATTTCGGTTCTCAAACATATATATATATATATATGTAGACAGTACAAGTAGTTTACTTCAAATCACAACACTAAGAACGTTGTAATGAGAGGAGTGTTGAGAAAAAGTAACCTTTAGAAGCAGTGGAGGAGAGGGAAGCTGGGAGATAGAGGAAAAGAGCAAAGAGAAATAGCTTGAGAGCCATTGGAGAATGCAGAAACCAAAACAGAGTGTTTTTTTTTCTTGGTGTTTTTACTTCTGCTTCAACTTCTTATGTGGCTTTTCATGACTGGTCTTGTTTTGTGTGAACCTTCTCCTATAAATAACACTTAGGATCCAACATAGCAACTATATTAATTACACCTACATATGTCTGTCTCTCAACATGTTGTAAAAAATAATAATTATGTTGTAGTAGTATAATGTAGTAGCATCATATAAATAAAACAGTTTCAAGATAAAAGGGAGAGTTGTACAGCTTGTCTATGTCATTAATGGCATGAAACGGTTGAAATAGAAGCTCTGGTAGCCGTTGGATCAAAGACTTCATAGATTCAAAGTGTATACATTAATCATGTTCACCTAACCACAGACGCAGAAACAATAACACTACAATATAGCCATGTTTTTGGCAAGTATAGTAACAGATGAATGTAAATTAATTATGATCATAACTGTGAGTAAATCTTCACGAGTCATGTTGCTGACAATTAATCTTATTGATTATCTTCACCTAACCAAAACACAGTACCTCCCGTTTTATTTCGTTTAGCATGTGAACACATCGTACCACGTACGGTGGTCATACATATGGATCACATGAGATTTTCTATTAACTTTAAACCAGTCACAACTATAACTACACAGTTTGATGTAGCCACCACAAATACAATTTGATGTTGAATTTATTAATGAATGTTTCTTTGGAGGGAAAATAGTATCATATAATATACAACAAATAAAGTACTTAATTCTTCCACTTTTTGTTGATACTCAGTAGCCCACAAATGCATTTGGACATTTCTTGTAAGGTAAACTCATTTTTAAAATAATCATGTGATTTTGAGGTGTATGTTTCACAGAGTTATTGGTGGTGGATATGAAAAGAAATGATGATAATAAATACACCACACCAATCCATGAGTTGGATTCTGAATAAATAGTTACAAAACTTTACTACTCAGTATAGTTAATGTAAAGATTAATTTCTCCTCTCTTTTTCATGGGGTTGGCATGTTGTCCCATGCTTCAACTTTCACGAAACTAGGCAATGAAATCGTATATATCTTTATAGCCCTCTTTCAAATTTTTACGTTATTATAAATAAAAAAATCATATCATGCCACAACACTCTTTCAGTCACTTGTTGTTGCCGCCAGTCCTGTAAGCGGAAAAGACTATAATATTATTGCATTTAGTCTTTTCCCTAAGCTGGCCCCTATCACACAACAAAGAGACTTAATATTCCACGGTCCAAAAAAAGCTAATACCAAGAAGATTCATGGTTCTATATATGTAGACTGTTCCAGACCAAAAGGTCCGTCTCTCTTCTTGAATCCTGATGACCTAAAGAACTGACCATCGGTAGATGTTCTTGAGAACTTCTTGAATCCTAATGACCTAAAGAGCTGACCATCACTAGGTGTTGTTGAGAACAACTTCTTGATTGTATTTATATTCTCTGTGATTCCATCAACGAGCTTGGAGTCATCATCCCTCAAAAAAGAACCCGACCCCAACGCAGCAGGAGTATCCATCTTTCTGGATAATTGTCTCAAGAGTTCAGGAACCTTTTGGAATCTTAGATGCTCAACTTCATAGACAAGCTTTATGCCGTAGGCGTTAAGCAGCTGCCTGTCCTGTGTAGTGATGATAACTATACTTCCCGGACCAAAACTGTTGAAATCCTCAGCAAGAGCCTCTAACTGTTCAAGTTTATTAACATCGTCCGCCACAAGAAGAACCTTTTGGTTCTCGAAACTTGATCTCCTCGAGCAATATTCTCCTTGGACCCTCCCCATAAACTCTTTATGTAGATGAGACATGTGGTGATCCTGAGATATCCTTTTCAGGTTTCCTAGGAAACAATGGCTTTGAAAGTGGTGACAAATGTTTTGGTAAACGAATTTAGAGAGAGACGATCTAGCATTGCCTCCTCTTGCCCAAATCCCAACTACTCTCACACTTTCCTTAGAATTCAAATCAAATAACCGTGAAATGGCCTTCATGTGCTCATCAATCCCCACTATGTTACTTCCATTGCCTGTTGTTGTATCAGTTGACCTCCATATTCTCTTAACAACTTTGTCGATCAGCATCAAGTCATCTCCCCTAAAGACACAAAAAAAAACGAGATTAACAATAAGAACAACTCTATTGAAAACAAAGACATCATTATGAAAACCATTAGACCAAAAAAAGACAAAAAAACAAAGACATCATTAGGCAAACCATTTAGACAAAAAAAAAAAAAGAAAAGAAAACAAAGACATCATTCAATCACTCCTCAAAGTCAAACCCTAAAGCTCAGCTCAAAATGTTCTTTATCAATAGATTAGTGATCCATTGATTATAAAAATTTCTGGAAAACTATGATGATCACAAGATTATTAGTTTAAGCTTAATAAATCAAATTTTCTTAGATTAAAAAAAATCTTATATTGGTTGGGATTTTTATAATCTACCAAAAACAAGAAATAAGGAAGAAACACTAACTTTTATGAATTAACAAAAACTTAATAAAACCATAATACTAATATGTTATCTATATAAAAACCTAAAAGTTATGAACCTATTTGTTAATCTATATATATATATATATTATTTTTTTTTTTGTTCATCACTATATTTTTTCTCTCTAATAGAGTATTATTGGAATAAACTCAACTCTATTATATAGCTATTTTAAATCAAAGAAAAAATAGAGTGAACCATTGAAAATGATCTAAATAGTTATAATTGTTAAAAACATAAATTCATTTCAATCATTTTTCCTGTAAAATAAGTTAAAATAGCAATATTCAAAATTGTCCAAATTAATTCTAGTCTCTAAATCAACCAAGTAACGAAATATTTACCATTTCAGTGAACGATCACCGGAGATATTCGCCAGTCCGGTCAATGCATGCCTCCACGTAAGAACCCTCTCGTGATCTTCTCTCGCCTCGTGCTCCTTAAACTGTGCGGCAACTTCTCCCATCTGCCACCTCACATCACAAGGGTCCACGCCGTAGAAGATGGGTATCACGGTGAGCGAGCCCTTCTCTTCAAGTTCCATAATCTTGACGAGCTCTTCTAGGCACCAAGTGGACTCTGCGTATTGCGCGGAGACCACAACAACGGCGAATCTTGACTCCTCGATGGCGCGCAAGAGCTCCGGGAAGATCCTCTGGCCGCTCTCAAGCTCCTTGTCGTCTTTGAATGTTCGAAGGTTCTTTACAGCCAACGCTTCGTATAGAAAAGGGATGAAGCTGCTGCGAGTGTCGAGTCCTCTGAAACTTAGAAAGACATCGTACGAGGTAGACATGTTTCTCTCTGACTAAAAAGGAATCGTTCACCTCATGTATTTATAAGGTAGCAGACTCTTGAGAAAAGTATATTTTTGCTCTACTTTCCTAGCATTTTCTTCTCTTTTTTTGTGGTCAACTTTTTTTTTCTGGTCAACTTTTATTCTATCAATTTATAATATAGGGACTATTCTGGTCAACTTTTATTCTATTTCGGAGAAAGTAGATTTTGTAACTTTGAAAATTATTTTTGGCATCTTGTCACAATTCAATCAATTATATATTTTACTTAAAAGAAATAGGTGAGAAAATATAAACTGGAACTCTAACTTTATCCCAAATGTAGTACAATTTTCACTTCCAAATGATAATCATTTTCGTAAATAATTTAAGTTTATTAGGAAAAATAAAATTAATTATTCTAAATTAGTTACAATGGTTAAATTTCTTTTTATAATAAAAGTCTATAAGCTAAATCTCGTTAGCTAAATATTGGAGAAACTTACAAATTTTATTCAAGTATAATTTTATTTTAGATTTGTTTTTTGGAGAAATATACTTATCTTAGATTTTAATTTGAAAACTACATCATTAGATAAGTTTTATGAAATTCACTTTTTGATATATGAATATACTAAATTGTCAAATCTAAATATTTAATATTACTATCAATTTTGTTATCATATTTTTAATATTTAAATTAACAGTTTCAACAAGAATGAAATTGTTTTTTTTTTAACTTTATAATATCTGTGCAATATCTTAATTTTCTTTCTAGAAAAAATAAGCAAGACGTCTTCTCATTTTTTTTTCATGTGATATTTTCTAATCCATTTTTCTTCTTCTAGTTTTATAGTTTATTTTCATATCATTTAAAGATTTGTTAATTCCTCACTCATGTCTTTGAGTGTAATTTTACGTTTTTGTGTGTTTAAACCTTTGTCTTCAAATTTGGTTTTAGTAACTCTATGTTTCGATAATTGTTTTAGTTTCGATTTTGCAATAAAATAAAATTAATTATATTTTTCTCATAAAAAAATAATTATTTTCACTTCTTTCACAAGACTATCGCTTTCTTTCATCACTCTCTAAAGCACACTGATAAAAATTAGATGCTTCAAATAAGAACACTCTAAAAGACTTACTAGAAGGTGGGAGTGGAGTGGTTGTAGAACGAATGATTGTAGAAAATAGAACGTGTCATTTTGTATCTGCACTGTAACGAGTGGCTATTCTGTTTGATCGGCTTGACTTTGGAAGAAATGTGATCGAATTTTGGACATAGTCAACACTTTCTTTGCCCACATGGTTTCGGATTGTTTTTGAACGTTTTATTTGTCCTTTTTTTTGCCAGCCTTCTTTTTTTATTAAAGGCTTTAAGCCATGATAGGATACAAGCAAATCAAGCCCAATTTTAATAAAACTATATTTAGCCCGATGAAACCCATAATAAGTTTACCATACATGTATATAAATTTAGAGTGTGATTATTTATTTTTAAATAACACTAAAGAGATTAAATATTATAGATAGCATTTATCAGAAAATTCGATATTTTCGTAGGGGTTAGTTCACATATTTTAAGATAAATAGATATTTTTGTTTTATTTCCTAGATGCATCATGCACTGAAATAGTATAAATATTGAAGAGGTTTAAGACCTTAGATGTTTCCATTTCTCAAAATAATTGAGATTTTATATGGGTTACTCCACTTATTAGTTGTATATGTAGTTTGAATAAATTACTTATTGAAAAATTAGAAATGATGCTCATCTACCATGAAAATAAGTTTACCGTACATATATATAAATTTATAGTGTGATTATTTATATTTAAGTAACACTAAAGAGATTAAATATTATAGATAGCATTTATAAGAAAATTCAGTATTTTCGTAGGGGTTACCCCACATGTTTCAAGATAAATAAGAAAATATGATATTTTTGTTTTATTACATAGTTGCATCATGCATTGACATAGTATAGATATTAAAGAGATTTAATACCTTAGATGTTTCCATTTCTCAAAATAATTGAGATTTTATATGGGTTTCTCTACTTATTAGTGGCATATGAAGTTTGAATAAATTACTTATTGAAAAATTAGAAATGATGCTCATCTACCATGAAAATAAGTTTACCATACATACATATAAATTTAGAGTGTGATTATTTATCTTTAAATAACACTAAAGAGATTAAATATTATAGATAGCATTTATCAGAAAATTCGGTATTTTCGTAGGGGTTAGCCCACATATTTCAAGATAAATAAGAAAATATGATATTTTTGTTTTATTACATATCTGAATCATGCATTTACATATTATTAATATTAAAGAGGTTTAAGACCTTAGATGTTTCCGTTTCTCTAAAATAATTGAGATTTTATATGGGTTATTCCACTTATTAGTGGTATATGAAGTTTGAATAAATTACTTATTGAAAAATTAGAAATGATGCTCATCTACCATAAACATAAGTTTACCATACATATATATAAATTTAGAGTGGTTATTTATTTTTTAAATAACACTAAAGAGATTAAATATTATAGATAGCATTTATCGAAAAATTCAGTATTTTCGTAGGGGTTAGCCCACATATTTCAAGATAAATAAGAAAATATGATATTTTTGTTTTATTACATAGTTGCATCATGCATTGACATAGTATGGATATTAAAGAGGTTTAAGACATTAGATGTTTCCATTTCTCTAAATAATTGAGATTTTATATGGGTTACTCTATTTATTAGTTGTATATGAAGTTTGAATAAATTACTTATTGAAAATTAGAAATGATGCACATCTACAATGAAAATAAGTTTACCATACATATATATAAATTTATAGTGAGATTATTTATTTTTAAATAAAACTAAATAGATTAAATATTATAGATATCATTTATCAGAAAATTCAGTATTTTCGTAGGAGTTAGCCCACATATTTCAAGATATATAAGAAAATATGATATTTTTGTTTTATTACATAGTTATATCATGCATTGACATAGTATGGAGAGGTTTCAGACCTTAGATGTTTCCATTTCTCAAATTAATTAAGATTTTATATGGGTTACTCCACTTATTAGTTGTATATGTAGTTTGAATAAATTACTTATTGAAAAATTAGAAATGATGCTCATATACCATGAAAATAAGTTTACCATACATATATATAAATTTAGAGTGTGATTATTTATTTTTAAATAACACTAAAGAGATTAAATATTATAGATAGCATTTATCAAAAAAATTAGTATTTTCGTAGGGGTTAGCCCACATATTTCAAGATAAATAAGAAAATATGATATTTTTGTTTTATTACATAGCTGCATCATGCATTGACATAGTATGGATATTAAAGAGGTTTAAGACCTTAGATGTTTTCATTTCTCAAAATAATTGAGATTTTATATGGGTTACTCCACTTATTAGTGGTATATGAAGTTTTAATAAATTACTTATTGCAAAATTAGAAATGATGCTCATCTACCATGAAAATAAGTTTACCATACATATATATATAAATTTAGAGTGTGATTATTTATTTTTAAATAACACTAAAGAGATTAAATATTATAGATAGCATTTATCAGAAAATTCAGTATTTTCGTAGGGGTTAGCCCACATATTTCAAGATAAATAAGAAAATATGATATTTTTGTTTTATTACATATCTGCATCATTCATTGACATAGTATTAATATTAAATAGGTTTAAGACCTTATATTTTTCCATTTCTCAAAATAAGTGAGATTTTATATGGGTTACTTTACTTATTAGTGGTATATAAGGTTTGAATAAATTACTTATTGAAAAATTAGAAATGATGCACATTTACAATGAAAATAACTTTACCATACATATATATAAATATATAGTGTGATTATTTATCTTTAAATAACACTAAAGAGATTAAATATTATAGATATCATTTATCAAAAAATTAGTATTTTCGTAGGGGTTAGCCCACATATTTCAAGATAAATAAGAAAATATGATATTTTTGTTTTATTACATATCTGAATCATGCATTGACATAGTATGAATATTAAAGAGGTTTCAGACCTTATATGTTTCCATTTCTCAAAATAATTGAGATTTTATATGGGTTATTCCACTTATTAGTGGTATATGAAGTTTGAATAAATTACTTATTGAAAAATTAGAAATGATGCTCATCTACCATGAATATAAGTTTACCATACATATATATAAATTTAGAGTGGTTATTTATTTTTTAAATAACACTAAAGAGATTAAATATTATAGATAGCATTTATCGAAAAATTCAGTATTTTCGTAGGGGTTAGCCCACATATTTCAAGATAAATAAGAAAATATGATATTTTTGTTTTATTACATAGTTGCATCATGCATTGACATAGTATGGATATTAAAGAGGTTTAAGACATTAGATGTTTCCATTTCTCAAAATAATTGAGATTTTATATGGGTTACTCTACTTATTAGTGGTATATGAAGTTTGAATAAATTACTTATTGAAAATTAGAAATGATGCACATCTACAATGAAAATAAGTTTACCATACATATATATATAAATTTATAGTGAGATTATTTATTTTTAAATAACACTAAATAGATTAAATATTATAGATATCATTTATCAGAAAATTCAGTATTTTCGTAGGAGTTAGCCCACATATTTCAAGATATATAAGAAAATATGATATTTTTGTTTTATTACATAGTTATATCATGCATTGACATAGTATGGAGAGGTTTCAGACCTTAGATGTTTCCATTTCTCAAATTAATTAAGATTTTATATGGGTTACTCCACTTATTAGTTGTATATGTAGTTTGAATAAATTACTTATTGAAAAATTAGAAATGATGCTCATATACCATGAAAATAAGTTTACCATACATATATATAAATTTAGAGTGTGATTATTTATTTTTAAATAACACTAAAGAGATTAAATATTATAGATAGCATTTATCAAAAAATTTAGTATTTTCGTAGGGGTTAGCCCACATATTTCAAGATAAATAAGAAAATATGATATTTTTGTTTTATTACATAGCTGCATCATGCATTGACATAGTATGGATATTAAAGAGGTTTAAGACCTTAGATGTTTTCATTTCTCAAAATAATTGAGATTTTATATGGGTTACTCCACTTATTAGTGGTATATGAAGTTTGAATAAATTACTTATTGAAAAATTAGAAATGATGCACATCTACAATGAAAATAAGTTTACCATACATATATATATAAATTTATAGTGTGATTATTTATTTTTAAATAACACTAAATAGATTAAATATTATAGATATCATTTATCAGAAAATTCAGTATTTTCGTAGGGGTTAGCCCACATATTTCAAGATAAATAAGAAAATATGATATTTTTGTTTTATTACATATCTGAATCATGCATTTACATATTATGAATATCAAAGAGGTTTAAGACCTTATATGTTTCCATTTCTCAAAATAATTGAGATTTTATATGGGTTACTCTACTTATTAGTGGCATATGAAGTTTGAATAAATTACTTATTGAAAAATTAGAAATGATGCTCATCTACCATGAAAATAATTTTACCATACATACATATAAATTTAGAGTGTGATTATTTATTTTTAAATAACACTAAAGAGATTAAATATTATAGATAGCATTTATCAGAAAATTCGGTATTTTCGTAGGGGTTAGTCCACATATTTCAAGATAAATAAGAAAACAAGATATTTTTGTTTTATTCCTAGATGCATCATGCACTGAAATAGTATAAATATTGAAGAGGTTTAAGACCTTAGATATTTGCGTTTCTCAAAAAAAATAAAGATTTTATTGGGATTATTCCACTTATTAGATGGTATATGCAGTATAAATAAATTAATTATTGAAAAATTAAAAATGATGTTCGTCTACCATGAAAATAAGTTTACCATACATATATATGAATTTATAGTGTGATTATTTATTTTTAAATAATACTAAAGAGATTATATATTATAGATAGCATTTATCAGAAAATTCAGCATTTTCGTAGGGGTTAGCCCACATATTTCAAGATAAATAAGAAAATATGATATTTTTGTTTTATTACATAACTGCATCATGCATTGACATAGTATAAATATTAAAGAGGTTTAAGACCTTAGATGTTTCCATTTCTCTAAATAATTGAGATTTTATATGGGTTACTCTACTTATTAGTGGTATATGAAGTTTGAATAAATTACTTATTGAAAAATTAGAAATGATGCTCATCTACCATGAAAATATGTTTACCATACATATATATAAATTTCGATTATTTATTTTTAAATAACACTAAAGAGATTAAATATTATAGATAGCATTTATCAGAAATTCAGTATTTTCGTAGGAGTTAGCCCACAATTTCAAGATATATAAGGAAATATGATATTTTTGTTTTATTACATAGTTGCATCATGCATTAACGTAGTATGGATATTAAAGAGGTTTCAGACCTTAGATGTTTCCATTTCTCAAAATCATTGAGATTTTATATGGGTTACTCCACTTATTAGTTGTATATGAAGTTTGAATAAATTACTTATTGAAAAATTAGAAATGATGCTCATCTACCATGAAAAGAAGTTTACCATACATATATATAAATTTAGAGTGTGATTATTTATTTTTAAATAACATTAAAGAGATTAAATATTATAGATAGCATTTATCAGAAAATTTGGTATTTTCATAGGGGTTAGTCCACATATTTCAAGATAAATAAGAAAACAAGATATTTTGTTTTATTTCCAAGATGCATCATGCACTGAAATAGTATAAATATTTAAGAGATTTAAGACCTTAGATGTTTGCATTTCTCAGAAAACTAAGATTTTATTGGGATTATTCCACTTATTAGATGGTATATGCAGTATAAATAAATTAATTTTTGAAAAATTAAAAATGATGCTCATCTACCATGAAAATAAGTTTACCATACATATATATGAATTTATAGTGTGATTATTTAATTTTAAATAACACTAAAGAGATTAAATATTATAGATAGCATTTATCAGAAAATTCAGTATTTTCGTAGGGGTTAGCCCACATATTTCAAGATAAATAAGAAAATATGATATTTTAGTTTATTACATAGCTGCATCATGCATTGACATAATATGGATATTAAAGAGGTTTAAGAACTTAGATGTTTCCATTTCTCAAAATAATTGAGATTTTATATGGGTTACTCTACTTATTAGTGGTATATGAAGTTTGAATAAATTACTTATTGAAAAATTAGAAATGATGCTCATCTACTATAAAAATATGTTTACCATACATATATATAAATTTATAGTGTGATTATTTATTTTTAAATAACACTAAAGAGATTAAATATTATAGATAACATTTATCAGAAAATTTAATATTTTCGTAGGGGTTAGCCGAGTCCACATATTTCAAGATAAATAAGAAAATATGATATTTTTGTTTTATTACATAGCTGCATCATGCATTGACATAGTATGAATATTAAAGCGGTTTAAGACCTTAGATGTTTCCATTTCTCAAAATAATTGAAATTTTATATGGGTTATTCCACTTATTAGATGGTATATGCAGTATTAATAAATTAATTATTGAAAAATTAAAAATGATGCTCATCTACCATGAAAATAATTTTACCATACATATATATAAATTTAGAGTGTGATTATTTATTTTTAAATAACACTAAAGAGATTAAATATTATAGATAGCATTTATCAGAAAATGAATGTGTATATCATTTTAATCCAAGTAAAGAATAATAGTTATTCTATACACCAGCAACTCCCGCTCCAAAAATAGAAGCAAGCATTCCTATTTCTAAGACACATCTAACTAAGTTTAGTCATATACTTAAATGTACGTGAAAGAGGTTTTCACTTTACCAAAAAAATGATATTAACACTTTCCCCTAACCTAACCATATATAACAACACATTGACAACCTAACCATTCCACTGCAGGTTTTTTTTCTCTTCTACAAAATCGGCAGAAATGTCTCTCTGAGTCTGAAGGCTAGTTGTCTGAATAGTTCACAAACATTCTGGAATCTCAGAAGCTCTACTTCGTAAATAAGCTTTATTGCCAGCGGAAACAAATAGCTGATTGTCGTGTTAGTGCCAAGCCTGTTGAAACATTCGATTAATACCTTCGAAAATTTTGAAATTTTTTATATGTACATAGACTCTCAAATTTCTTTTTAATACTCTCAAATTAGTTAGACAAAAAATTTAATTGAAATTTTTAAAAAATCGTTTAGGACCCCCTAAAATTTCAGAGCCGGCATATGTCATAAGTAAGTGATGATAACTATACTTCCCAGACCAAAACAGTTAAAAATCCTCTGCAAGACCTGTACAAGTTGTTTAACAACCTCTCCCACAGGCACTGCCAATTGTAAAGACAGATATTTAAAGAATGCTTTATTATTTATTCCTTACCAGAAAGAACAGATTACATACAAAAGAATGACTTAACATTATTAAGACTAATTTACAAAAGAACAAACAAACAAAACAATTTAATTAATATTACTCAATCTAAAGACTATATATCATTGCATTTAGTCTTTCCCTAAGCTGTCCCCTATCACACAACAAAGCCAATAAATATTTCAGTGTAAAAATAAAGCTAATACCAGGTAGATTCATCGGTCCATATATAGGTTCTTCCAAACCAACAGGATCTTCTCTCTGCTTGAATGCTAATGTCCTAAAGAGCTGACGAACTTCAGGATCATTTTTCTGCTTGAATGCTACTGACCTAAAGAGCTGACGAACTTCATAGCATCTCAAGATCTCAACTTCATAGACACTCTTCACACCTGATGAACTAAGCAGTTGTCTATCTTGTGTGGTTATAATGATTCTGCTCCCTGAACCAAACCAACTAAACTCCTCACCAAGCGCATCTAACTGTTCGATCTTGTCCACATCGTTAGCCACAAGCAGAATCTTCTTGTTCCTAAGCCTTGCTTTGATCATTTTAAGACACTTACGAGAGATCTTTGAGGTTAAGCCTTCTCCTTGCATCTTGGAGAGAAGCTCTTCTTGGAGATGAGATCTGCGGCAGTGTAGTGAGATCCTTCTCACGTCTTCGAGAAGACAATGAGCTTCAAAGTTATGTGAGATGTTTTCGTAGACGTGTCTAGCGAGTGCTGATCTTCCTAAGCTTCCTCTTCCCCATATACCAATGACTCTAACACCTTGGTTTGAGGTTAGATCGAGTAATGGATACAACTCGTTCATGTGTTCATCGATACCTATTAGGTTGTTACCATTTGTAGGTTTTGCTGAGAACAACATCTTTGATATCTTCTCGGTAATTCCATCTACCAGCTTTGAGTCATCATCCCTGAAAATGAAAACATAGTAAAATCAATTCAAGAAGGCACAGAATGAAACATTAACATATCAAGATTCAACCAATAATTCACAATCTGAAACCAGTAAATGATCAAGATTACAAGCAGTGGCGGAGCCACGTTAAGGGGAGGGGGGTCACTTGACCCCTATGAAATCTATCAAATGTAATTGTTGTGGTGTAGTGGTTAAAATGCCTCCTTTTGACCCCCCTATGTCATGAGTTCAAACCTCTAACTTGCCTTTTTAGCTATAATAATTCTTTTATGACCCCTATAAAATCAAAGGCTAGCTCCGCCACTGATTACAAGAAACAATTCAACAAATCACAATCTGAAACAGAATAAAAAGATAAGATCTAAGAAATTATTCAAGAAATCACAATCTATTTTTTTTTTGGTTAAAGAAAAAAAAAAGAGGTGCAACAAGTAAGAGGACTTCCGGAAGGTCACCCATCCTAATACTACTCTTGTCCAAACACGCTTAACTGCGGAGTTCTGATGGGATCCTACGATCACACCCAGAAATCACAATCCAAAAAGATCAAGATTCAAGAATATATTCAAGAAATCAGATTAGTTAAGAAAATATTCAAGAAATCACAATCTGAAACAGAGTAAAAGATCAAGATTCAAGAATATATTCAAGAAATCACAATCTGAAAAAATGTAAAAAGATCAAGATTCAAGAATATATTCAAGAAATCAGTTTATTAAGGAATTCAAGAAATCACAATCTGAAACAGAGTAAAAATATCAAGATTCAAGAATATATTCAAGAAATCGCAATATGAAACAGAGTAAAATATCAAGATTTAAGGACATATTCAAGAAATCACATTCTGAAACAGAGTAAGAAGATCAAGATTCAAGAAACCACAACCTGAAACAGAGTAAAAGATCAAGATTCAAGAAACACTTAAAAAAAACCACAATCTAAAACAAAGAAACAACTTATAGTCCGGTCTTTACGGAGATCTTACCAGTTCTTTGAACATTCACCAGAAAGATTAGCCAAATAAGTCAACGCCTCCCTCCACGACTTAACCCTCTCTTTACTTTCTCTCTTCTCATGTTTCTTGAACTGTCTCTTGACTTCTCCGATCTGTCTCCTCACGTGAGCAGGATCAACCCCGTAGAAAACAGGCAGCACTTTAAGCAAACCCTTCTTTTCATACTTCAAAATCTTCACGAGCTCCTCAAGGCACCAGAAAGAAGCAGGGTAAGTCGCGGAGACGACCACGACGGCGATTTTTGATCCTTTAATGGCTTGGATAAGCTCCGGTGGAATAGGACGGCCACTCACGAGCTCCACGTCGTCTTTGAAAGTTCGAATCTCTTTGGCCTCTAGATCCTTGTAGAGGAAGCTAACGAAGTTCCTGCGAGTATCTGCGCCTCTGAAGCTTAGAAAGACGTCGAACGTCTTGGGAGTGAAAGAGGAAGAAGACAGTGATGACCTGGATTCGAATAGTCGTAATGATGTTTTAACTTTTGTCTTAAAGCACGATAGTTTTTTCAAGATTCTATTCATCTTTAAATTATTTTTTCTTTTTGTAAGTTTGGGAGCATTTAGCAGTGTAGCTATGACTTAGTTTTATAGAGGAGAAGATATGCTTAGGTAATGGCTAACGGAAATGAAATTACCGTTACATTTCCAAGAAACATTCTATAAACCATCTTTGTCAACAAAAAACGCACTCTATAAACAGTTTTATTCCTGTATATATTTTAACTAGGGTAGAATTATATATAATGACGAAGTTGTTTTTAGGTCTATGCAGTATATATGTATACTCATTAAAGAAATTTTATGGAAACTTTAAAACATGTATTATTGTATGCAATTTAAGCTATTGTAAAAAGAAGTACATTCACCCAAATGTAAAAACGACCATTATATGGCCTGTGGTCATTTAGAAGGCATGGTCTCCTAGTTCTAAACACCGTGAAATGGACGTTTAAAAAGTGAAAAAAAAACCGCGTTATTCTTCTAATCGCCGGAGAATTATTCTACCTTTTAGAGACATGTTTTTTTGACAAAGGGTGTTCTATAATTTGATTGCATGAAAATATTACAAGCTATGACTTTATGGTTAAACAGTTTCATATAGAAACCAAAGAGAAATGAATTAAACAAATGCTTAACGCTTAATCCAGTTTAAAACACAACCATAACTGAGGACAACGAAGAGGGAAATAATTTAAACATCTTCAACGGTAGTTTCTCACATATTTATTTCATTAAAATAAGTTTTAGTTAAAAGAATAAAAAGTACAAGAGAGAAAAACTTGAAGAAGAAACTTTCAAACAAATTTAAAAATTTCTTTTAAATGTGTTTTTATGTGATTGGCTTAGCATTTTTATACTTCAAACTTTATTATAGTAATGATATTTTTTTTTTATAAAAATGGCTCTTTTGTTATAGTATTGAATTATTATTTATGTTTATCTAATATATTTTTTTGGTAAAGAGGTAAAGTTATCTAAAATGTTTGATTGAGGATGCTATAAAGTTCAAACATGTTATGTTTCCACAAAATCTTGGAATGATAAGATGTCGATCGATTAGAGATGTCATAAGCATATATTCTAAAGTAATAGCATAATTTTATGGCTAATGCATCCAACGTCACATATACTGGAGATCTTGATACTTTGGAATTAATATAATAGGTTTTCTAAATATATATGTAATCGCCGTTGAAAATATCTAACATATCTTATGCGATATCGACGTGCAGTTTGGTAAAGAGAACATAAGCTAATATACTTTTCCGAGTCATAGATTCGTCGGCAGTACGTCCTGCTACAGTATTTTGTTTTACTAAATAAAGAAGTCAAATAGACTTCTTCTTTTCTTATACGGCATAGTACGGTGTTTCGTTATTAGAAAAATAAAGTCAGAGCTATTTTTAGTTTTATTAGAAGAAAGAGTCGTAGGCTAAAAATTATTCATCTAATCGAGTGTTCCAGTTTGACAAGTAGATAAAGTTGTGAATTTTTATTTAGGTTTTTCTTATTTTAATTTTATTTGATGGAAAGACTTGTTCAAAGATAAAAAAAAAAAAAAGACTTGTTCAAAGTTCTTTAACAAAAAAAAAAGGAAAAGAAGAATCGTTCAAAGCGTTATGGATTTGTGATAAGCAGTCCCCGTATGGGTTTTATAGAGTAGAATAGGCCCGTTTAGAAGACGAATCAAGTGTCCATCCAAGAATGAATAATAACAAAGGCTACTCATATTTTATTTATCTTTTGTTATTTATTAACAATTACAGATTCTCTAGTTTTATGTCTGTAAAGTTCTACAATGTTCGTACCCTACCGTTAAAAGATCTAAAGACTAAAGGCAAAAAGAGAGCCCAAAACTTGGAGAAAAGTATAAAGTTTTTGAAATTGCTAAGCGGGGTAATAGTAATAGATCAGGAAAAAAGAAAGAAGAAGATTCATTTCGTTGTACTTTACAACAGTTCATGTTTCCCTATAAACTTTACTACTCGAATAATCATCACGACGTGACAATCACACCATTCCAATAATCAAAATTAAGGAACTAGCTAACCTTTGACATTTCATGATTAGGGAGACAATAATCTCAATTACTCCAGTATTGAAACGTTTTATAATTCGTTTGTTTGCCATTCATAATCAGTTTTAAATCATTAACCATTAGTAATAACATGCAACCCTAACTAAAAAAAGGAATTATTAGCTGGAACAAGCTACCACATAGAAAGTTTTAGAAATGTCGATTTTGTTATTCAACTATAAACTTTAAATTTAATGTAAACTGTACCCAATTCAGTAGTAAAGCGTTATTGAAATAATGTGACTAAAAATTAATTAAACCAAAAGGCTATTTTTGATATACTAAAAAAGTATCTCAGTAGCATATGATCTACAACAATATACAGTTTTTAACTTTCAACGAACATGGTACTATTATACTGTCGGGCTCAAATTATTTGTTCTCTTTTTTTTTTATCACAAATTATTTGTTCTCAATAACTTTAATTGTATGCCATAATTCTTCTTGTGAGACATCTGATAACTGAATGATTATTAGATAAGGACCATTCATAACATGTTTCATCCTTTTGACCGTAGCTAGAAGAAAACAATCAATTACTCATTTATTTCTAACTAAAATTGTAGAATCTATATTTAACCCTCAAATTTACTCCATGTTTAAGTTTTAAAGTAAAATCTAATAATTAAAGTTTTAGATTAGTCTTTAAATAGAAGAATGAAATATAATTAAAATAAACAATTCAAAAATACTCCCTCTTGTAAATTTTTTTTTGTTACAAAATAAGTGTCGTTTTCGGTTTTCAATATAAAATTTATTAATTTTATTATATAATTTATTTTTTTACTGGTTAAAATGTGGTTAGCTATATTGATAATTGTTTTTTTATATAGTAAATAAGTAAAATTATTTTTTTCTTTAATCCGTGTGCACAATTATAAAATGACATTTATAATGAAATAGAAAGAATACATTATATTTTAGAGAGATTTAGGCCAATACCCATAAAAGTGAGTTAAATTAGTGGTTTGCCTTGACATTAAGACAACTTTTTTTACAATTTGTTTGGAATTGGACAGAAATGACATTCTTCAACTCTCAAAAACCTATTGCCTATATCTGACACATTCTCTCTCCAACGATTCTTCCTCTTTTACCACATCTATTTTTTTTTAAACCACACATATTTTTCATATATCTCTTTTTCACATTCATTTCTTTCTTTTACACTATTTTTTCTTGATTTTTTAATCTACAATTTTATATGTAAATAATTTTTAAATTTACTCATTTTGATAGAGAAATGAAACTTCAACAATATTTATTTGTTAACATGTAATACCTAACACATGTATTGACATCTACAAAATTTATTAACAACTAACATCTCTGTTAACACTTGTAATACATGTCTTTGTTAACAGTTAACACATATGTTAGCATTTACAAAATTTATTAACAGTTAAAGCCTCTATTAATACATTTGGTACATGTATTTGTTAACAGTTAACACTTTTGTTGACATCTACGTTATTTGTTAACAGCTAACATAAGTATTTACATCTCGGCGATTTTAAAAAAACTTCAATGCTGATTTCTTCAGAATGTGGTGTAATTAAAATAATGTAGATTCATAAGAATAGTAGCAACAATAAATTTTTACACAAAAAGAAGATATTAGCATGATAAAAGAGAGGTTGTGGGAAAAGAGAGTGTCAGGTGAGAGAGTGTGTCAGGAGAGAGATTCACATGCATGTAAATGAAAGAGCAATTTCGTCATAAAAATGGTTGAGTCTCATCATGGGTAATCGCCTAATTTCGGATCCAAAAGGATATAGCAACAAATAATCTCTATTTTAACCCGAACTTTATGTGCCTTAGTATAATTAAAAATAAAAAAATATACTGCTTAGGATAAAAATTCATTAACATTTAATAAAAAATACTATTACAACTGTAATTAAAACAGGAATGAATAAATCGCGCGTCACTGTTCTTCTCTATCTATCTATAAGCGGAAACGAATTGTTACAGTTTCACAACTTATCTCTCTCTCTTTCTCTCTACCGATTAAAAGCTTCTCTCTTTCTTCCGTTAGACCCGCTCTCTCTCTCTCCAATCTTCTTCTTCATCTCCGTCTCTTCTTCTTCTTCTCCCAATCTCTACACGATGACCTCGAAGAACAACGGCTTGAACGCCGCGCTCGTCTCGAATCTCCAAGACGTGCTTTCAAAACGAAAAGGAGCGAACGATGGATCCGCTTCGGAGGAGCAAGCTCCGTCTACCTCTGTTACGACCAAGGAGGAGGTAGAGGCAGAGAAGGAGATCGATGACGTAAGACCCATTGTTTTAGTAACGAATAGCGATGGAATTGATTCGATTGGGATAGTCTCTCTCGTTGAGGCTTTGGTTAACGAAGGGATTTACAATGTCCATGTCTGTGCTCCTCAAACGTGCGGTTTTCCCTTTTGATTTGGTTTTTAATTTGTTAAAAGTTTGGAACTTTGTGTGACCCAATTGTGGATGTGGCAGGGAGAAGTCGGTTTCGTCTCATTCTATGACTCCTGGAGAGACCATTGCTGTGAGTTCCGTTAGTATCAAAGGTGCCACTGCCTTTGAAGTTTCAGGTATAAGGATTTTGAAAGTTTTATAGCATCTATAAGCTTGAAAGTTGGAGTCTTTTGGTTGAAACAAGATCCATTGTTTAGTGTCTTATTAATACGCATTGGTGTGAGTCTGTTCATAGGCTTTAAGATTGTTTTTTGTTTGTTTGTCTTAGGGACTCCTGTGGACTGTATCTCATTAGGATTATCAGGAGCGCTTTTCGCTTGGTCAAAACCAATTCTGGTTAGCATTTTTTTAATCATCTCATTATATATATATGATGTTATGGTATCTTGAAATTTCTGCTTATTTTCTTCAGGTGATTAGTGGAATCAATCAGGGATCAAGCTGTGGGCATCAAATGTAGGTTCATCTTTGTATATAACGGGCTGTTCCTTGTTTGTCTGCTATGTGTTTCCTGATGAGGGGATCTTTCAGGTTCTATTCTGGTGCAGTGGCTGGAGCCAGGGAAGCCTTGATTTCTGGAGTACCCTCTTTGTCAATATCATTGAACTGGTGAGTATAATCATGGGAATGCGTGCTGCTGCTATATGTCATAGAACTAGTGAGCATATATCATGGGACATTTTGTTTATCCGTTTGTTCTTATCTATTATAGGAAGAAAGATGAAAGCAAAGAAAGTGACTTTAAGGATGCTGTTGGTGTCTGTTTACCTTTGATAAACGCCACAATTAGAGACATTGAGAAAGGAGTTTTCCCTAAAGATTGCTCTCTCAACATTGAAATTCCAACATCTCCTTCATCGAACAAGGTTTGCATTTCTTACTCAGAAACTAATTTTTGTTTCGAGTTCTGTATTTTTAAGAACACAAATTATGCTTGCATTGGTTACCATGTTCTTTAATGTTGTGAAATTAGAGCCTCACTGGCTAATGGTTTAGGGAAGTTGACGTTACATGTACATATGAATAGGGTTTCAAGGTAACGAAACAGAGCATGTGGAGGCAGAGTCCTAGTTGGCAAGCTGTTTCAGCTAACCGTCACCCTGGTGCTGGGAATTTCATGTCCAACCAGCAAAGCCTAGGAGCTCAACTTGCCCAGCTTGGCAGAGATGCTTCAGCTGCTGTGAGTTAATTTCTTCCATTCAAAAGTTTGGTCCAGAAAGTCCAACATTAGTTAATTAGATACTGATATCTGGTAATCTCAGGGAGCGGCTCGTCGATTTACTACACAGAAGAAGAGTATTGTGGAGATTGAATCGGTTGGTGTTGCTCCTAAAACTGAGAGCCGTGTTAAAAAATACTTCCGCCTAGAGGTAAAGAAAATTCGAACCATTCTCTTCACAAATCTTTTGTAGATTTAGTATGTACCATTGTGTTTGAGAACCTGAGTCCTGACTATGTTAATGTTCAGTTTGTGGCTAAAGAACAAGAACATACGGATGAAGATTTGGATATTAAGGCTCTAGAAGATGGTTTTGTAAGTTGGCATGATCACACGCTCTTTTCTGCATCATCCCTTGGGCTCCTCTTATCATGATACAGAGAGTGTTCTGGTCTAGATTTTAAGCTACTTACTAAAACCCTTTTTGTAAATGACAGGTCTCTGTGACTCCACTGTCTATCCTTCCAAGTCTGGATTCAGAAACTGAAGCCGCAGCATCAGAATGGATCTCCAAAGCTCTTAACGCTGATCAATGAAAAGGAACATACTCAGTAAATTATGTTACATGATTTGGCCAACAAATCTGGTAACTAGATTCTGGATTTGTTTGTCGTTTTAACCCCTTTTTTAATTCTATTTATTCGATCTCCCTATACAAAGTCTTGTGGATTGCTTCTTGTTCGCTTGTTTGTTTGTTTGCTTGTTTCTCAGTAGCTGTTTGTGGACGCTTACCTTTGTAATTGGAAAAAAGGGTCGGTCTACTTTTACTCAAATGCCAGATTCATACAACTTTTTATTAGTATTTGTTTTGTATGCCTTTTGTTTGAGAAAGAACGGTCCCAAATCCTCTGGATGATACTACTGGTTCAGCTGAAACATGTTTCATGAACTATCTTTGAGTTTTGTCAAAGCAATATGTGAGGTGAGTACTCTCTCCTTCATCTGCTACTACGTATCGCTTTGATTTAATCTGAAGGTATTCGGATGCTGCTACGCAGCTACACACGTCGCGGATACCATTACGTTGTGATGCATCTAGTCTCTGCAATGTACTTTGCCAAGTCTCTTCGTCCTTACCACATAAGAACGAACCGAGTATCTTGAGGGCTAGAGGAAGATGCTCTGCTAAATGAACTGCGCGTACCCCACTTGAGACCAGTAAACTCTTGACTTCGGATGTCATGATAACTCTATCAAGCATCTTGTCTCAGATTTTCTTTTCTTCATTCTTCAGCCTTCCAGTGACAACAACAACCACAAATCACATGTCATGATGAAACAAGAAGGCAAATTCATTACAACTTCTTCATAACTACAAATACTATTCAGGTTCTAGTTCTACAACAGGGACAACAACACATTCTTATTTATAGTTACTCTTATTGAATGCTGAACAGCATAGATAACAGAATCACCACTCTCATTGTATCCGTCACATCAACCATATCTTTTGAGTAAGATTTGAACATGATCTTCAGTTACTTACTTCAGTTATGAAAGCACCATGTGATATGAAGCTGAATCTTCATCTGCTCTGACATACTGTTCCAATTCTGTTTGACGTCTTGAAAGGTATTCACCTCCTCCTATGTAGTTTGCTATCCGGAGGCTACTGCTATCATGTGATGCTTCCCGTCCTACATTTTTATCTTTTTTTCTTAATGCCCTAATCTCACTTAAAACTTTATCCCCTTATGTAACTAAAATTATTAGCTTACCTCTCCTGGATGCTTCAAGCTTGCGCAATGTTGTTTTCCAACTCTCCAAGTCTTTATCGTATAAGTATGAACCGAGTACTTTGAGAGCCAGGGGAAGACGTCCAGCAAAGTGGACAGCACGAATAGAGAAGCCTTCAAAACCAACAAGAGGGTAAGGCATCTTGAAAGCACAAAGGGAGAAGAGTTGAAGAGCTTCCTCATATCTCAGAGACTCCATCTGGTAGATATATTTTACTCCACAGGATTTAAGCGTCTTGTCCACTCCACATGTAATGATAACTCTACTTCCTGGACCAAGCCAACGAGAAACCTTCATGGCATCCTTAAGTTGCATATGGTCAGCAGTATCATGAGCACCATCGATAACAAGAAGGACGTTTCGGTCGACAAGAAATGGTTTGATGGAATCAAAGATGTTATCGGATCTCTTTTTTCTTGTAAGATGTTGTAGCAAACTTGGTGAGATTCGGTTTCGGTAGATGTTATTGACACTGCTTAGGAAGCAGTAGTGTTGAAAGCGAGGTGAGATGTCGTTGAAAACACATTCCGCGAGTGTCGTTTTACCGACGCCACTTTCACCACAAATGCCAACTGTGCGGACATTGTTCATCATAGTCTCCAAATCCAGCAAGTCATAGACAGCTATCTTGTGACGATGCATGCCAACAAGAACGTCTGAGTCGTCAGATGCGGGAGAAGGAGATTTATCCAACGAATCATAGTCTGAAAAAGACGTGTTTTGGCGCTCTTCTGACACAGGCAGACTTTTTTGGGGTAAGTGCTTCAAATGGGTATCGCTAGTTAATATTAACTCGGTTAGTTCAAGGTCAATGTCTATTGCGTGTTTTTTCTCCGGACCGCTATAGTTAGCAGGTAAAGTAGGATAGCTCGTCAATATTAACTCGGTCGGTTCGAGGTCAATGTCTATTGCTTGTTTTTTCTCCGGCCCGGTATAGTTAGCAGGTAAAGTAGAAAGGCTGAGGATTAGATCATCGAGCATCTTGGAGTCATCCACCCTGTCATGAACAAATTGTTAAAATGATAAAGTTTATGGTAACTAACCATAACCTATTGGTTAAGGTTTATAGGCTTCTACATTAGGTATAGAGTTTCTACATCAAGAAGGTTTAATTCCCGGAGAAGTGAATGGTGAAAAAAAAAGTATACTAGTTATTCGGTGAGTTGACTAAAAAAAATCTAATCATTTTGTTTGTCGGTTCTCACTGCCAATCGTTTTTAATATAGTAATTTTATTATATTATTTTTTATATATAAAAATAATCCTATTATGAATATAAAACAAATAATATAATATAGGTTCTTACTTATATAAAATAAATATACATATCATTTATTAATTTATAATAGATCATATATTTACATAGAATTTTGTGAAAAATTATTATCTTATTATTGTATCGAGTATTAATTTATAAAAGTTCTAATGTACTAAATGTTTTCCTGCATAATAAACAGAAAATAAGGTTTTAAAATTTAATTATGTATATATTTTTTTTTTATTTTTTTAGATTTTATTATTTGGTTCAGTTTATTTTTAAATATTAATTTAATTATATATCAAAATTAATTTACAATATTTTTTCTTTATAATATGTATATATATATATATTTAAAATTCTAATTTTGGAAACACTTTTTATCTATTTTTTTGTTTAAAATATATTAAATTAAACTCTTCAAAAATTTTGAAAAAATGTTAAGTATATAATTATCAAAATCTAAAATTAAAAATGTTTTTAAATTTGTAGATGTTAATTTATACTAATTTATCAAATACTCCCTCCGTTTCAAATTATAAGTCATTCTAGAGTAAAATTTCCGTTTCAAAATAAGTGTCGTTTTATAATTTTAATGCAAAATTTATTGATTTTAAATGTTATTCTATTTTTTCATTGGTTGAAAAGTGGTTAGGTGTATAGGTAGTTGTGTTTTTATTTTGAAAATATGTAAAATTAATTGTTTTCTTAATCTGTGTGCAAAACTTTAGAATGACATATAATTTGAAACGGAGGGAGTATTAATTTGTAGAGTTTTACGGTACATCCCGCCAATTTGAGTCGAGCAGGTCACTTCACTAGTCTTCTTTGCTAGAAACTCGCCATAATATTGTGAGAAAATCGTGTTTCAAGAAATTCTTCTTATATCACCATTAATGATCAACATTTGAGATTACTACGAGTTTTTTTGAAATTTCATTAGTAAATTTACCAATCCCGCGAACAAAATCTAGATTCGGTGCCCGCCTCCAATCGCTTCAATGCAGTCCTCCAGCGATTCACTGTCTCCGGAGTTTCTCTCTCTTCATGCCTCCTCAGCTCCTCGCCGAATTTTCCAGTCAAATCCCCCGGATCCACTTCGTAGAAGACTGCTCTTATGCTCTGGTCATAACCAAAACCCAATAGAGAGAGAAAAAGATTCAATACTTTATATACAAGTGAGACTGAGCTAACTTACACACCTAACAACTCAACTAACTTCTAACATACGCCACAATATACATACCTTACGGTACTTAGTGTAGGGCTTATTATGCTCCATGATCTCCGCGAGTACCTCCAAGCACCAGACTGAAGATGCGTAGTTCTCTGATACCACAACTATGGCGATAGTTGACTCCTCTATAGCCTTTGAGACCTCATGTGGCAATCTTCCTTCTTCCGTCCTCTCATGTTCTTTATCTTTGTAAGTAGGCATCCTTTTATGATCCAAGGAACGGTATAGATGGCTTACAAAAGTCCTACCTGTGTCCTCCTGATTAAAACTCAGGAACACCAGTGAAGGAATATCCATTGATTTTTTTTTTAACCGATTGAAAATGAGATGGAGAAAGAGTCGGCTAATGTGTAAATTATTCTATACATGTATAATGATCATTCCAATAGTCAAAACGGATTTTAAAAAATGGTTATATTTAGACGTGCAAATGTATGACCACATGTATGAACACATGATTTGCTTGCTTGTGTGTGGTTTTATTGAATTTAATATCATTATATTGAGAATAGGGCTGGGCATTTTATTCGTTAAATTTGATTCGATTCGTTATTCGTCCCGATTCGATCCGAAAATTCCGGATATCCGTAAACTTTCGAATCAAAGCAAATACTAAAAATCAATATCCGTTAAAATCGAAGCAAATCACAAATATTAAAATTTTGGGAAGCGGATATCCGATCCGATCCGTAAATATATAAATATATG